AGTACATTTGCATATTTTTATAACTATAAAAAGAAAGCTGACACTTTCGAGACTTTATCTAATGTGTAAGCATCACAGCAGATGCCTTAGATGAGAATCAGTGAGCTGTCGGCTTTCAGCCCCGACCGTGTCCGTGCTGTCGGGTGAGAAAGGCGACTCTCACTGATTCTGATCCGTCGGCGGGTCCGCGCTTTGTGTTTACGTCTTTGTGCAGAATCCGTGTGCCTGCTCTCATTTACTGTTTTAGCTGTTTGGTGGTTGTCGAAACTGAGATTCTGGCATTTTGGGCAAAATAAATTTATATTAAAAAAATTGATTCAGGATTTTAATGAATCGATATCACGTTATCCAAGCCAGAATCGATTTTAATCGATGAATCAATTATCAAAACCCACCCCTAGTGTCACAGTTTCATGACCCAGCATTATAACAGTAAAGCCAAAAAACAGAGGAGGTTTTCAATCCAACAACATTGTTTAATAAAATGTATTTTGCTTTACCATTCTTGCCAACCATAAGGATCCCGTGGTGACCAGAACAGAATACAAGCCAGGCCCCTTAATGACCCTGCAAAATCTTACCAGATGTTTAGAAAAGCACCAGAGGTTAACCCTCAAACTAAAATCTATGTGTGAGTTGAACTTCTGCATTAGACTCATTTGAGCACATGAGCTTCAACAGATGCTCTTTGAAAGTGCAATTACAAAAGAGCAGAAATGCCACAAATTTTGAGAAATAGAACATCAAAAGTAGGGTCTTTGAAAACCTGTGCTGTTCAGTTGTAGAAAATGTTTTGTTTCCCACCTGTTTTTCCAGCTTCTGTTGCATAAGACTGCTGCTGTCATTTTCAACACCACTGCAGAGAAAAGGAGAAGCAATATAAAGACACATTTTTTCAACAAAAAATGCATTTTCTTATCTAGCCAGTAGAGGGCATTACTACAGTTGGACTGATAGCTTTCTCTAATGAATTACAGATACTTTAGTAATTTTAGTGAAAGACAGCACATCTAAAATCTTAAGCACCCATCTTGAAAAGAGTAGCGTTGAAAACTAAGGGACAAAGGGAAAAACACTGATCTTCTGCTTATTGTTGAAACATGACATGACTCACTCTCTAATTATGCATGTGTCTTGTTTAGTTTTTTTTTTAAAGAAACAGAGAAGGAAGAAGAAAAAGAAACAACACAATGCTCTAGCTGAGAGAAGCCCTTACAGTGTGGCGCCTGTGGGCATTTACCTTGGACACCTATCTGAAGGGAGCAGGCAAATGTTGCTAAGCTACAGTGAAGAGAGAGCAGCAGGAGTTGGCTTTCTCAAGTCGGAGTCAGAGACCTACAACAGCACCACTATCTCTCCATCAAACACACACCCAAAACCAATAATGTGATGTAATGTGTGACTCCCATCCTCATGAACTTAAATGTTTCCTGTCAAGTAAATCTTTAAATATCTCATGCTCTGCTTGGCAGAAATGAGCCACGTAAGCTCATCAGATATCCAAACAGCTTATCCTGACTCTCTGTTCCACCTCTTTTAGTCACTCTCACATCCTTTACACATTTATGAGTTGATTGTAAGTGAGGACACATGCTGCTTATGAATCTCAAGCCCAATGTTGGCTGACATCATAGTGCATGAAATCCATTTAGGAGACTTTAATATGTCTTACTATTAACACATCATATGTTCCCAAACAGCCAGCAAGAATAGTACCTTGCTACATAGTGTCAAAATTAGTCATCTTGCCCAAGTGTGTCATATTATCACGAATGAATCAAAGGGCTCCACAGCAGGTTATTATGGCAACTGAGCACAGGTTGTGGTGATAGGGAGGAGGGCTGGAGAATGGGAGATGATTTTAGTTTTTAATTTCCCAAGTCATTTCTTCAAATGAACTAACAGTGGGACCTGGGACACGTTGTTAATTAGTCATCCTAAAGAGGCTTTTACCAAAGAGCCTCAGATTTACAAATTCTCCAACTAATGTAACCGTACCCAAGGATCAAAGTATGGCATAAACAGCTCTAATTAAAATGTTTACTGTTCACTGAACTTTTCCATTAATAATGTTGTTTCCATGCTAAAAGGCACTATCTGGTTAATTGCTAAAGACACTCTCTACAGCAGCTCAGTTTTCCTAATAGTTCCTTAAAACACATTTTTTCCATTGGTACAGTGTAATACCCCTAAAGTAATTTGGCAGAATAGTGTGTGCCTAATAGCCTAATGCACTGCTTGAACACATTAGAACACGACTGCTCTGATAAAGGTAGTAGCAAGAGATTAAAACATTTTTTGTAGCCAAGAGAGAAATCATAAGTAGTAAAGAGAGTTAATTCAGTTTTACAATAGACACCTCAAGGCACTTTATCCATTAAGGTAAAGACTGAAACTACAACCTAACAATCAGATGAACCCCTATGAGCTGGCATATCAGTGGAAAGAATTTTTTTTTTTTTTAAAAGGACAGATCTCCAGAAGAACTAGAGTCAGGAAAGGGTAGCTATCTCCCCTTCTAGTGCCTGTTAGTTCTCTCGCTGTGGTGTTTTAAGAACAGCTGAAGGCTTTCACAGAGCTTTTTGGATTATATAAAATAAATTCAATTCAATTTAATTTATACAGCGCCAAATCACAACAACAGTCGCCTCAAGGTGCTTTATATTGTAAGGTAGACCCTACTATAATACATACAGAGAAAATAATCATATGACCCCCTATGAGCAAGCACTTTGGCGACAGTGGGAAGGAAAAACTCCCTTTTAACAGGAAGAAACGGCAGAACCAGACTCAGGGAGGGGCGGGGCCATCTGCTGCGACTGGTTGGAAGACAGGCTAAAAGACATGCTGTGGAAGAGATATAGAGATAATAACAATAATCCAACAAGTGCAGAGAGGTCCATTAACACATTGAGTGAGAAAGGTGACTGAAGAAGAAACACTCATTGCATCATGGGAATCCCCCAAGCAGCCTACACCTATTGCAGCATAACTAAGGGAGGATTCAGGGTCACCTGATCCAGCCCTAATTAAATGCTTTATCTGCTTTTATGCTTTTCTAAATGCTTAAATCAGAATTCAGTTTGTGTTTTTGTGTATCTAGAAGCTGACCCATCGGAAATTGTAATTCTATGAATGAATGTGTTTGTCTGACAAGGTGACCCCATCCAGTCAATCAGTGAGGACCTGTGGACTCTTGTTTGCTCCATGCTTATAGACATTACAGCTGTCTTTATGTCTAAATCTGTTTGGGGCTTATGGTAGCCTAGTGGATGAAGGCAGTGTGAGTTTATAGCATAAGCTTAGATAAACGTGTCCATCCTTCAACTTCTGACTGTGTTGTTGAACAGGGTGATACTAATGATATCACTGATTACTGTTATATGTTATTATTTTTGCACTTACAGTCTCTCTGTATGTCTATTGGAGACGGGGAGGGAGAGAATGTTGAGAAGCTGAGTTTGCTCTAGTACAAAGCAACGGGTATCTTGGGGCCTGTCACCGAGTAGATACACCTGTGATCACAGTGGCTACTGTATTTTACTATTAGTGTCTGTCTCCCAAATTCAAACTGAGAGCTGGTTCCATAGAAGAGGGGCCTGAAAACGTAAGGCTCTGCCACCCATTCTACTTTTAAATTCTCTAAGAACAACAAGTAAGCCTGCATATAAAGAGTTTTAATAGTCTAGCCCCTAAGTAACAAATATGGCAAAAAACAAACATAACAAATATACCCTTTAAATCACATTTATGATTCACTTTAAGAAATGCAAACCAAGTGAAAGACTTCCATCTTTTTTAATATTTTGGGGGCATTTCCTTAGTCTATACTGGACAGGTACAGGTAAGCGTACAGATGAAAGTAGGAAGAGAACAAAAGGGAATGACACACAGGAAAGAGTCCACACCGGAATCAAACCTAGGCCCCTCACACAAGAAGATCATTCTTTAATTGATGACTGTCTGAAATATAACAGTTCTGCACTAAGGTTTTAAGTGCATTATTCAGTCTATCTGTCATTTTCAGGTACTGCAACTGGAGTTTTATTTTTTGGAGTGTGTAGGTGCATACCTGGCTGTTGTGTTTGACGAGAAGCTGGCAGAACTGGAAGGTCTTTGGGAAAAAATCATACCGCCAGACACATGGGACATATGGAAAATAAACAAAAGAGTGAAACAAGTTTAGAGACAACACCAAATAGGAAAACCATAATGTCAATGTCATAATGATGTAGTGGCTCATCTGGCTCACGATTCATCACGATTCAGGGGTTCATATAATGTGTGAAGAACAGAAAGAAAGTAAAATGTTTCCTTGTCACTGGTTGGCTGCTTGAGAATAGAAATTCACTGAGAAGCCAAGGACACTCGCAAACAGTCAAATCCAGGACAAAATCTCGCTCACACTGAAATGAATTAATTTTTTTTTAGAAACTGTAAGAAATGTACTTAAAAGTTATGCTATGAAAACAGGACAAAGCAAAAGTGCTCATATAATGACAAATGTGATTTTGACCTTAAGGACAGTTTGGATGAAAATCCATCACTGTGTCCAACTTCAATTAAATTCTGACCGATATTGTAGGAGGAACGGTGATTCTTGAATTGTGGATAGGCACTTGGATGGAAGGACACACAAGCCTATTATTTTAGGGCAGGGGTATCAAATATAAGGCCCAGGGGAGCAAATCAGCTCATCAAAGACCAATCCAGCCCACTGGACTACTTTGGAAAATGTGAAGGAGGCACTTGATGTTAAATGCGACTGTTGTTGTGATTTGGCGCTATATAAATGAAATTGAATTGAATTGAAATGAGTTTGACATCCCTGTTTTCGGGTCTATACTTTACAATTTATAGTGCCTTGAGTGCGTTGTTGTGACTTGGTGCTATATAAATAAAACTGAATTGAAATTCAATTGAACTGAATGCCTTGCCATTGTATGAACTCACTGGTCCTTTGGTTGAAGGAGTTAAAAATTGTGTGGGATATAAAAAAAAAAAAACCCTCCACCTTTAAGTATGGTTTTATTGATTCAATTGTGGTTTGGAAAGAATAAGAAACAAAAAAACAATATATGTTTAAAAGCAGGGATGTCATTTTACAGCTGCTTGTGGGCCAAACCAAAAATACTCCCTTTTGTGTCAGTAGAAAGAAATTAAGCTGTCCATCTAATCCCAATTAATAGAAGAAAAAAAAAGTGCAACTTCAAATGTATGTCTCAGTTTTTCAATATGATAATGAAATGCTACTGATAAAGATAATAACATCAAATAAATCTTCCAGAATGAATAAATACAGTTGTAAAATGACAGGCTCAAAAATACCCAAACTCTCCTGTCTCTTTATGTTCTTGGTAAATATGGACATGTGCATACACACAAACACAGTTACATGGTGCCTCATCACAGCAGTAAGCGATCGCCTCTTCATTAGTCCGTCACAGCTTTGGTGACAAGAGAAGGACGCGCCACTGTTGTCCCTTCCTTGTGTGTCAGTCCAAGGTAACCATGGAGATTCTTGCTCTGTCAACAGCGCACTTCCACCAGCATTGATTAAAAACCTGCAGTGTGTTCTTGAGCCTCACTGTAATTGGAGGACTTTAGCACTCTGCTGTAAAGATTCACAGACTGACAAAGGGAGGAGCCTACCAAAGCACGTAATTGCAGCTGAGCTGTGCAAAATTTAATTACTTATGCCTCTGATAAATTCTTTGTAGGAAATATATAAATAAGTTGCACAATGTTGATGTTTTAAATAATTTAAAGCTATTAATTTAACTGTGATAACTGTCCGTAACTCTGCTGCTGGTTCAGGATATAAAAAAAGGAAAAGCTGACCAGAAATGTTTGGTATTAAACCCACAAGAGTATTATCAGACCATGATCTGTTTTGTGTGCTGTTCATTTTAATTAAAAGCTTTCCACTCTGCCACTTTAAATGTTAATTTGAAAGTTGGATGAGTGCGACTTAATTCAGGCAATTCAGCTTTGAACTTAAGAGAGGGTACTCCATAAAATGAGGGCTGATAATAGTTTAATGCTTAATTCTAGTAAAACATACCCCAAAAATATCCATCCATCCACCCATCCATCCATTCATCCACTTGCTCTTGCACCAGTTTATAATCAGGAAGAACTAAAATTGATACATGTATAGAAGCAGGTGCCTCAGAGATTAGCACTATTACCTCACAGCAAGGTTGTCCTGGGTTATCGAGAGCTACGGTTTCTCTGGCCATGCAAAACATATTAGGTCGATGCAACTTTTTGTTCATACATTTTATAAGATTGAATGAAACTAGACTCTCTGATCGATAAAGCATAATAAACATATTAAGGTTTCATATAATTTACCCGTGTCCTTCTTGTTTTTCCCTAAAAACTCAACTGATTGTATTTAACATTAATGTCTGAGCAACAGAAAAAGCACCTGCAGAAATGCAGCAACTAAATACTAAATACTAAATCACACTAAATACTAAAATCAGTGCTAATAATTAAAGCTGACTCATTTTAAGACCGATATCAATACCAATATTTGGTGACCAAAAAATCCAATATTCTAATATCTATTGCCCGTTTTTTTTTTCTTTGAGACACACAAAGCAGATCCCAAATATTTGTAAGTTTGGTTGTTTATTTATTTTTATTTATTTAGTTTATGCTCTGAATGAGTCTTCCAGGATCAGCTGTTTCCTGTGTTTCTGGAATTCCAAAAGCATTTATTGCCAAAAGGGAAGTAGTACAGTGCCATCTGGTGGACAAACTCTGGAACATCAACACTTATATCATGGTTCAAACGTGTTTTTTCCCTCTCTCTTCTTTACGTTTTTAATTTTCATTAATCTGACATTTTAAATGCAGATACCAACAGATCTGCAAATAGCTAATATTGAACAATATTATCAGCCCTGGTTGGGCTCTAACAATAATAATGGCTTTTTGAAAACTTCTAACTATAGTTATTTTTGCCAGCGACTATTTTGGACATCAGTGAGTGATTACCTGTCATAGAGCAAAACATTTTCTATATATATTATGAGTATCTCTGAATACCATCAGGGAGGAATCCACTTCAATTGGTTTTCAGGACTCAAAATCACCGAGCCATGACTTACAAATTTGAAATGGAATAATGATAATTCAAAGCTACAGAATCTTGGAATGATAACTAAACAAGAAGCAAAGCGCAGATGTACAGATGTATTATGATTACAGCCTTCTCAGATCAATTTCAAAATCAAAGGAATTAAAGATTAGTAAATTCAAATTAAATCTCTAGTCTCAATCACCACAGCCTCAAAACTGAGAATATGGTTTATGTAGACTCCTTAAAACAGACTAGAAACTGATGAGTATTTATAAAATAAAATGCTAAGAGGAAACATTTAACTGGATGAATACCCCAAGCACATCCTTACTTACATGGATGTGCTTGAATTAACCTACCAAGAGCAGACAGACACACACACACAAAACGGGCTGGACACACACGCAAGTTACCAACTCTGGTTACAGCACACAGTCACAGCCTGATGCTCTGAATAAGTAACGACATGGTGGCAGAAACATGAGCGAGAAGAACATCGAGTCATTCAGCGACCTGAAGAAAGATAGTAATGCTGACCTCAATCCTAACACAGGCAACTCTGTAATTCCTTATTTCTAAAAAAGACTATCCTGCTAGGAGAATTAAAGCAAAAGTTTCTTTAACTGCATCTGTTTTAATGCAGAAGGCAGCTGTCTTGCTTAAAGAAAGAAACCACAAGTCTTAAAGAGCACACAAGAATGTATATTCTGAAAAAAACTCTACTACTGAGATCAAAACATACTGCATGTACACGTGCCATTAAGTGCAACTACCTGTATGACCAGCGACTGTACGCAGGCTGAGATCCCTCGGTCTTTACAGTGTCCATGGATGCAGCTTCAGGAATGCCAGTCCAAATGTCTCTTATCTATAACAAAAATCTTCATTTACACTCGGGGTCTTACTTAGTGCTCAGTTCTACCCATTTGTAAGCCTACAGACTCCAAGATCTCTGCTAGTGTGTCACTGAGAAAGAGTAGATGTCCCACCCATGGGAGTGACAGCTACCACTGCTGAGGTACTCTGAGGTTGTGAGGCTTAGTGCTGTTACCATGACTTCACACTTGAGGCAATGCGCAAGGATCCAGCTAGGGATAGGTATGGAAGTGACAGTTTTGAATGTCAGAGTATTGCAAAAGATCAGGCAGAGACAGAACTGAAAACATATAGTCTGAAAGAGCACTAGGGTAAGTTGTTTTAGCCTGATTATATTTTAAATATAAAGTCACTCTTTAAAGGTTGCTATCACTAAGTTCCCACAATACCGTCCACTAACTACTGAGAAAGTCAGCACTTGCATTTGGCTCATTTTCTCTGACTCATAGGGGGCCCACTGCACGTATAGTATGAAACCAGACTGCAATTCTGTCTGACATCTGAGTTATGCAACAGTGAGACTGTGTTGAGCCTTAAATAGTCCAAATCTTGTCAAAACTAATTCCCAAACTACCTTCCTGGATCACTCTAAGATTACATTTTTCATTGTAGAACTGAGAAGCATACGCAGTTTTAAGAAAGTTATCTGAATAAAATTAAACCTATAGATTACAACATCTAAAAACAGATACAGTGGGAGGACCTTTGTGTGGTTGCTAGGCGACCAGAAGCTGACATTTGTTTTTCCTGAGGCTATTTGGAAGAGAAAGACAAAATAAAAATCAGACAGAAAATGAGGCATGTGTTGTGCATGTTTGTTCTTAGAGAGAGAGCAGTAAACTCGCAAATACGTTAACTCATGATAAGCAGGGGAATCATTCACCCGTGGGAGTAATTATTGAAGTCAAAACAAATAATGGAAATAAGCTACCCTTGGGATGCCAAGTGACACAGTCCCCTTTTGACTCTTTCACAATTATGTTTTACTTTATTTAGGCAACAACAAAAAAAGCAAACTCATGTCCATTAGCGCTAATTCTTCATAATTAACAAAGAATGACAAATACAGATATATCTATTAATTTAGTTGACTGCTTGCAGTGCTGTACTATTCAACAACAAAAAAAGATGTATAGATTACAAAAACCAGAAATGCTACTTTAGTCTCTAAATGCATGAGAAACAGAGTGGACTACGCCTGCCAGCTGGGCCATTTGGAATTCACTGGACAGCCACAGTAAATCACAACTGGACCACAAGTCGTTCTTGCAGTTGCAGAGGTTAACCGCTATCCTTGTAGAGAATTTTTTTAATTGACTGATTTATAACAATGTTCAACTAAGATGGCGTACTAACTTCAATATCACCCCAACTGCTCGTGCAGAACTGCACACATTATATGATGCAGGTAGCAGGTTGGAAAGGAAATGTTTCAAAGGAATTTATGCATTCCTGGGAGCATTACTGGAAGCAGTAATATTGTAATTGTATATAGAACATTGCGTGCTCAGTTACAGTAGAAAAGTATTATATAAGAACACATCCATAATAATCATCAGCAAGCTTGACTATCTTTATAAAAGCAGAAGTTTTGGCCATTTGATGGTCTGGAGCATTCAGGTGTGTGTTAACACAATATTGCAATTTTTCCAGGAGTGGATATCCTAGCAATTTCACCATATGCTCAGAGAAACTGCAAAAATCCCAAATTCCAATATAATTAGAAAAAGACTAAACAACTATGGGTTGTTTGGACAGATTACACAGAAGAAAGCCTCTTTTCTCTAAAATGAAGATGGCAACATGGCTAAGGTTTGCAAAGTGGCATCTGAACAAACCACAAAACTTCTGGAACAATGAATAGACGAGACCAAAGCACAGATGTCTGGCCATAACGCAGTGAAAGCCAAACACAAAACACCTCATACCTCATATGATTTGGGCTTGTTTTGTTGCCACCTGAACACCTTGGAGTCACTGAATCAACCATGAGCTCCTCTATATTTTAGAGTGAAATCTGAGGCCATCTGCCTGATAGTTAACCATGTCTAAAACTGAGTATTGCAACAGAACAATGGTCTTAAACACAGCAACAAAAACTACAACAGAATCACTGACAAAGAAAAGAATCAAGGTGTTGCAATGGCCTAGTCAAAGTCCAAACCTCATCCCAACACATTCCTCCTCAATGATTCCACATTTCCACAAGCTACTGAATCTTACTGAATCATACAAAGAAAATTTAGACACAATAGGTATAAAAGAGTCTTTGTAGGACTAACTTTAGTTTCCAACAGGAAATATTCAGAAAAAAAAGTTAGCTATAATTAACTTTAAGCTGAAGAGTCCATGCTAACACTTGTGGTCCTCAAATGTCATCTAAGAAAAGGGGTTTCATTTTACCTCAGGTTATACATAACACTCTACCCCACAGTCCACTGAGTGTAAACACAGGGGCTCACCTGCTATTCTCAAATGATGTGTGGAGGCCCACTGTGTGTGCTGTGGGGCTAGTTCCAGTGTTCCTGTAGGATTTTACATAGAGCACAAATTATTATTGCAATATATTTCACACACAGTTATGAATTAACTGTTAGATTACTGCATCAGTACTTTGTACTAATTTGCACTCATTTTTCCTTAAAAAGAAAAAAAACTTTAGTAATTATAAAGACTGATCAATTTCTTGTGTGAATTAACCCACAATTAAAAACAGTGCAGGTGACCCACCACTAGAGAGAGAAAAGGGAGAAAAAAGTACAGCAAAGGCTACCTGGGAAGTAAACAGCCTTCATCCTGAGTAAGTCATCTGATCTGCTGGGAGACTCTGGTTAATGCTAACCTAAGGAAGCCCTGGGAAATCTAATAATATATATAATAGTAAATATTTCTCCTCTGAGAAATATTTGTTTTTTATGGGTTTTTTTTTTTTTTGTTTGTTGTATGAAAGTAGTTGATGAATGGAAAAGTAGTAAAAGCTAACAGAGTATCCTGTTATGTCTAGATGCTGCAAAAAGGCCATCAAATATACAATCTAAAGGAGAACTGATGACATGTCAGATTGCACAGAGGCAGTTTTGCCTCTACGCACTGAAATTCTGGTTTGTGTGCACACTGGGATAGAACAACAGGGATAGAAAATTGTGAGATTTTATGAACAAGGAAAGTGTACATTTCATTCATTCATCACTCCTGAAGTTGCAGCACAAATAAATACCAAGACAGCATTTCCAGAGATATTACAAGAGGCAGAAATGGTATTCAGACAATCCAACAATGAATAGAAATCTAAAGGAGAATTCAGTAACACCAAAGATAGGGGCTGATCAAGATCAACTTTAGTATCCCCGAGGGGCAATTTGCTTTGTAGCCAGCCAGGATGTGCCAAGAAAAACACAAATCACATCATAGAATTTTAAAAATTAATAGTGGTAGGAGCAAATTGGAATTTAAATCTATTTGTTCTGCAATTAGGCAAAGAATACCTCCTCCCTTAAGTCAACAGCTGATACTCTGAAAACACAGGATGTGTGCTATCACCCGAATTTTTTCTCCCTTTAATTCTGCTGCGCTGCCTCTATACAGGAGGGCAGATCATCTAGCTTTATACCTGCCACTTTACTACACAATTTAACAACATGCTCCAACCTTTTCTTGTTCTTCAAGCTAAGAGACCCAAACCAGCAGATTGAAGAAAAAGTTAAAACAGACTCAATAAAAGACAAATAGAACATTTTCCTAAAGACATTATCCAAATTAAAACCCCTAGGTTTCCGATACAAATACTCATGCTGGTTCCTAAAATATACAAATAAAGCTAGTTTTAAGAAATATTACAGCAACCTCACTACATAAATGACAATAAAGCACCATTATCTGAACACACACAGTAACTACACTAGAGTTTGATGTGTGCATTTTCTGTGCTAGCTCCCTAAGCAGGCAAGCTGTCGTCAAAACTTTGAAAATCTCTGCTAAGCACTAGCCTGGCGCTGTTTGTGCAGTGCGACAAATAACAAAACTCCACCAGCCTCGCACTTATAACGCTACACTCATGTCATCAGCACTTGAAACATTACAATGGTGATACTGTTATGAAAACTGTCATTCTGCAAATGTGTCAGCTCTGCATGGAGACTCTGGGATTTGTAACTACTCTAAGCTGCCAAGTGACTCAGCAGTCACTGAAGAAATACGAAGGACACAGCATTCACTGCATCAAAGAATAATACTAATAATATATATATATATATATATATATATATATATGTGTGTGTGTGTGTGTTTTTTTTTTTTAAATTGCGTAGCATTTGTGAGAAGCCCTTTATCCATTTCTTTTCAACACTGATAAAGTGTGCATTCCAAGTGGTGTGCTAATCAGGAATGTGTTCAAAGTGGTTCACATTACTAAGCTGACACAGTTAGAAAGGCCCTGAGATTTCCAAAAACACAGTACTTGTTCCACATCTGGGGAAAAAACATGAACAGGATGGGAGTTATTCCAAGTCAACAGACCAAGACTAACTGATACAATGCAGAGACCATTTCTCTGTCAATACTTGTTTGCAGCAAAATAGTCCATTTAAAAACAAAACGCAGACAAAAAAGTTCTCATTTCAATGTCACTGTAACTAATAAAAATTATCTATCACTAAGTTTAAGCCTTAGGTGACAGAACTAATCTACAAACTGATTAAATCAAATAATGTGACTGGCTCTATAACAGGAAAGGGTGGGTGAGCTACTGTGATAATCATCTCCCAACAAAAATGAAGGACGAATCTCTGCTCAAGTTCTTAAAACCGTGTAAAGCAGCTTCCATTAACACAGCGCCGTTTTTACACTCTGTGTGTGTATGGGGAGGGGGGTTACAGGCAGTACATTATACCCAGGCGAATTTTGTGTGACTGTTTGTAAATCTATGTTTTGCATTCAGTAACTGGCATACTTATCCAGATATTTATCTATTTACTCATTTGGGAGGTGAGGATAAACACACGCTGACATGAATGCTTTTTACATAAAACCAGAGACTACAAAGAGGCATGTTCAGACATGATATACAGTGGTTTTTTTCCAGAGCACTCACCTCAACCTAGTGAGTGCTCTGAAGTGGCTGAGTACCTCTCTTTAGGTACAGGATCTAAAGCATTTTATACAGCAAAACAACTATTTGGAATCCATCTAGTCTTGCTATATCCAAATTTGAAATATGTATGGCGTTATGTATGAGGCAAATATCTAACGCAAATGCTATTTGAAATAAAGAAATGTGTTTATGTATAACAAAAGGATTGTCTGCGGCTTTAATAAATAAATAAATAAATAAGTGTTTATTACACTGTACGTGGGCATTTAACTAAAGACAAACGAGATGCGACAAATGATGGGTTTCCGAACTATTTTATTCATCGGAAAAGGAGGGAGTATGGCTACATTTATAAGCAAGCAAGGGTAACATTAAAACAAAACGGTTGCTACTTATGGTTATTTTTCCCCCTTTCTGCTGTGCGGTTTGTGCACAGCACAAGTCCTGAAATACAACGACCGTTCTCTCGCCATTCGCCCAGTAACAGTCACCGAAACGAAAAAATAAATAAAATAAAAAATATGGGGGGGACTACACCGTTAACTACTCCTTGTGCTCACACGCCAGCTGTGGAATGTTAAAGCTAGCCTGTTACCGTTACAAGCTAACGCTAGTTGCCTGAGCCCAGTCTCTATCTGTATGCAGCTCTCTCTTATAAAAGTTGTGGGCGACAGCTAAGTTTTTCGCCTCAAAGAAAGCGCTAATCCCAGCGCTTTCCTCCCCATTCCCCAGTTCACCAAAGGGAAAAAGTAAGGACACAACGTACAAGCTGCGTTAGGTTTAATTCTCACCTTATGCTGAAGTAACTCATGTTTGTCCACGGTTGCTAAGGAAGATCCTCAGGAGGCATAGCACTTTTGAGGTTGGGAAGAACTCAGTTGCTCAGTCCTTAGTTACCGAGCACACTAAAGACCGGGGTTGCTATTGGCTTACCAGTTACTTAGGGGGAAGTTGATTGGTGGACATTCTACAGAAAGGGGGAGTGCATGCCTTGACTGTAGGAGGGGGTTTTATTTTTCATTTTATATAAATAAAAACCTATATAAATATAAGTTTATATAAATGCAAGTAATGTATACGAATGAATTAGCAATGAATTGTCACAAATGTAAAGTTTTAGAAGAAAAACATCCAGCTAAATTTCCACCTGTCCAATCCAACCCAACTGCAATTATAGCAATATAACTTTACTGCAAACTAAATGTGGGTCAAAGTATGTTTTTGTGGAACACATTAACACTGCTGTGAGGTAGTCTGAATTAATGGTATATCTAACTACTCACAAACCTGCAAGTTACAGGTCTGGCATCTACCATGATCTACCATGTAACATAAATGGAAACTAGTGTTTTTCAGTGGTTTCTGGGAAAGTCTTTGAACGGTTGTGTCACTGTAACTGTTAAACACTTATTTCACCTGCTGATGCTCATCTTTCGTTTCAGAAGGGATGCATCCAGGGATCAGCACAGCTCTTTTAGGGTCAACACTTTTAGTGTGACGTCTCGACTTACCAAGAGCCAATCACAATCTGGGATGTTGTCTCAATAAATGGAATGCTAGAAGAAGGGATACAAATGCAGAGCAATCCCAGATGTAGGGGTCACAGGAAGCCTGAGAGATTACTCAATAATCAATAACACAATCAATAAACATTTATTTTATGCCTGTTTTTAAATTGCACACCAGAATCATCAAAAACAATCTTAAATGGTCCTTCAGAAGACCAGTCGTTAGATCACACAGTTAACTTGAGTACTTATTTTGTGCCTCTTAATTTTTTGGATATTTCAGTTAAAGTTAATATAGATTAAACATTCTTCCATATGCCTGCTATCAAAATCCATTAGCATATGAATAACAATCCAGATATATTGCCACAAGTGAGGATTAAATCTACTGTATATAACATAATTTATAAAACAGTACAGTATCATTAGAATCTGTCTGTCACAAGATACACCCATTAAACTAATTTACTAAAGTTATATTTTAAACTCATGCATAAAAATGTTGTTCAGGGGGGTTCATAACAGACTTTGTCAGACATGGCATTATGATGTTTAGAACTGCAACAATTAGTCAATTAACCAATAAACAGGAAATTAATCTGCAGCTAAAATGAGAATACAGTCAAATCTTACAATCTCTACATCAACTTTGAATTAAAGCATCTGCCTCAGAGAGATGGCCCCTCTGTTTTAACAACACCATCAAGTTCTTTCTTCTTCTCCATGTCACCTTCATTCCATAGTCCCTCTCTGGTGTGTCAGCCACCAAAATGTCAGGTGACCCATTACATGGAGGCGTACACGGCTGAGCCAGCAGCAGATGTCCACAGGGGGTAGACGGAGAAATGTTCCTTTCCTCCATTGCTTTCGGAGTGTCCACATCAGGAGGTGGACAGACACTGCTGACTTCAGTGGTGCTAAACTCTTCACAGGGAAGTGTTGAAACACAGACTGCTGGAATTCTGCATCTCTTTGACACTTGCACAGATGGTCTGTCAGGTTCAACCAAACATCTTTGGTGGGATGAAGTGTCGTCTGAGAATGTTTCAGCACTCTTTTTTCTTACTGAGGCAAACTGTCCCTTTGATAGGTTAGAGCACTGTGCAGCTGAAACTGTCCTTCTCCTTTCGGCAGGTTTCCTTCCCACATGAGTACTCTCTATAGCTTTCTTCTTGGAGATCCCCTTTGGTTGCTGAGTTTGGTCTTTTGACCCTGTTTTAAACAGTAATTGGGGGAATTTGCAGACACTATTTTTCCTGGACAGCTGACTGCAGCTATCCAAGAT